TGTGTGTGTGTGTTATACATATAATATATACATATAATAAATATATATATATATAAAGCTCGCTCGCCATGGTGTTGAAGTGGTGTGTGTGAGTGAGTGGTGTGCTGTGGGTGTGTGGTGCGTGCGTCGCGCTCGCTCTTGGTGTGTGGCTCAGTTGTGTATCACTATGTTCCTTTAGTATGTTCTCATATTAAATTATTAAGGAGTGATTAAGCTAGTGATTTCACTCAACTTGTAATACATATAAATAGATGGCACACATTATGATAGTCGACTTGAAATAGGTTGGTAATGAAGGTATTAATAGTATTTGATAATTTAAAATTGGTAATATTAGTTATAAGGATATAATTGAGTATATGTAGTATATATAAATTATATAGATAATAACATTTTAACATATACATACATACAAATTCAGTGATACGTTAGCTTCGGCCTGGAAAAGTCCTGTAATTTTATCTTGCATTGGTTTCCAGAGCCCTGAAGGAAAGCCAATGGAAAGGAAATAACAAGGATTTGTTGAACGAGGCAATAAATTTTAGTTTCTCGCTAATCTCTGCTGCGTGACGATGTTCAAAAGGAAAACAAAAGGGTATGTTGAGTAAGCCTGCGGCAGATAAATGTGTTGACTATGAAAGGAAAAGTCAGTAGAAGTTTTTAATTTAGAATCAGGTTACTAGATCGCTGTGTAACCAGGTGGTGTAAAGTAAGTAATGGTTCTAGTATTCGAACTCATTCTTCCTTTTATGGCTTGTATTTTTTTGTATACTAACTCATATAATGACATAAGACATAAGAGCAAAGGACAAGAGGCGGAAGACGAGGAACAAGGGAGGGGAAGAGGTAGGGAGAGAGGGGGCCATCTTAACACATAGAAGGACATAGAGGTTAGGTTTGTTTAGATGAATAGAGAATTGTAGTGGATATAGTGGATAGGATAAGAGAGTAAGGGCAAATGGGGTGACATACAGTGAGGGCAGTGGCGGATGCGTGACAAGTAATATTCTATCATACCATACATACATATATATATATATTTATAATATATATATGCTATAGGGTATTCTAATCAGGGTAGTGAGTATATAAAGAGGAAACATATATAAGGTTATATTATAATGTTGTAGGCATGTGATTGTGAGTGATACTATGATTTAAGGTGGAATATATAAATATGTCCACACTATATATTCTAATACACAATACACTAATATATGTATAATATGGTCGTATATGTATATATAGTTTTACATAACATATATTTACACACATAGCGATAGTGTACCACAACTTAGAAGCAAGCCACGCCACACTACAAATTTATAATGCGTTGTTTGTGTTGTGTGTGTTGTGTAGACTCACGAGCTACATACACTAACAGTAGTACATGATGAGGTACTTTATATATATCATTATTTATAAATATATACTATTACTATATATATATATATATACGGTACTTGTTAACATATAAGGTATATTTAGGATACTAGCTGTTAAAATTATAAATATAAAAATTTTTATAATAGCAAATATATATATATACCCCACTTACGATACTACACGATATATACATATATATATCAATATATAGAATACATATCACTATAGTATATATACGGGGTACTAAATTATGACCCTACTATATATATTATAAATATATATTATAGGTGTGTGTGTGTGTGTGTGTGTGTGTGTGTGTGTGTTATGTGTGTGTGTGTTGTCGTCACTGTGTATGTAAGGGTGTGTAGTGGTGGGTGCTGTAAGATGTGTGGTGGATAGTGGTGTGTGTGTGTTGTGTGTGTGTGTGTGTGTGTGTGTGTGTGTGTGTGTGGCTGTGTGTGGTAAATAGATGTGTGTATGGTGATATACCATTCTATACATTTCTAACATATACACAACAACAGACACACACATATTATGTATACTTAGATACGCTCACTTGGAAATATATAATATTAATATTATATATAATATATAATACCTTAACGGGCCCCTGCGGTACTTTAGGTATTGGGAGGCATATTCCCGGTGGGCATATATCTATATTCACTAGTGGGACATATAGTATGTAGTAAAATATTAGATATAGATAAAATAGTACATAATACATATAATAACTGTCACTTTATTAATTAGGCTGGAGGTATATTAAATACGGGGCAGTTTAAATAATATGATAGGTATATTTAGTATATAGATAACATATAGTACGGTGGCGATACATTCAGGTGGAGGGTATGAGCTTAATTATCCTATATTATATTGGCAAGGTGATTATTTACTAAGCAGTTCTGGCTAAATATTTTAGGTACTATACATTTTTACCGGTCAGCGTAAGGTATATATAGTATAGGGGCGCGTAGATCAATAGTAGGTGAGGTATATGGTATATATGTATGTGTGTGTGGTGTGTGTGTGTGTGTTTGGTGGTGTGTTGTATACAATACATATTATAGGGGTGGGCACACAACACAACATATATGATATGCTAGTATATATATATGTGAGTGAGAGATATATATATAATATATATTATAGGTATTATATAATATAGGATACAATATAACATACATTACATACTAATATATATATTATATATATATATAATATATAAGTCAGTTATATGATATTATTTATGTGGAACTATACCCATACAATACATATCACTCACTAATATATAATATAATATATATATAGTGGAGTATACATTTTTTTTTATTTACACATACTAATTGTAACATATATTGTCAGGGAATAATTAGTAATATTATTTAATATAAATGAATAATAATATTTACTTATATTTGTAACGGGTAAATATATCATTATATAGTTTATTATAATATAGTATGGTGATCTGGTATTTGTTCACTAGGTGAGATTACTGATATGACGTATATGTTTATACATATGATACATGAGTATATGTGAGTACTATGTAGGTATACTGAGTAGTATAATCTAGCGCATATTAGGCTATGCCACGTATATATTCAGCTTATAATAATTTTATCTCCAGTGGATATATTATAAGCCTCTTAGGCTTTATATACTATTATGAGGTGGAGTATTGTCGTACGGATAGAGCAGGCACCACACAGCGACACACACAGCACACAGATATGATTACTTGACTTTATATATTATAGTATAATAATAGGGTACGTAGTACGTGACTATAGGTGAATAATGATCATGTAGTGATATATAAGCAATGATGGTATATATACTATAAGTAGTATAAGTATACTATGAGTATAGGGTACGTATATAATTATATATATAATGTATGCATTGGTAATATTATTAAGTGTGAACATATGTATAAAAAATGGATATGTAATATATATATATTTATTTATGAGGTATATATAATTAATAAATAATATATTGATAATATATTATAATAAAATATTGTATAATTATTTGCATACCATTTAATATAATATAATATAAATATTAAATCTAATATATATAAATAATATTAATAATTTATAATAATATAATATATTGTTATTATAATAAATATTTAATATAAATATAATTTATATTTATTACGTTAAGAATAATTAGGATCATACTCTTGATGAAAGATTATAATAATCATAATCTATATGATGAAATAAGCGAGCAGCTCGAACGAAACACACACACAATACAAACACAAAGATAACATCACAACATATCATATCACACAACACATTCAACATCACACACTACACTCACAATTAACACAATACACATTCACACATTCAACTAACACACATCACACATAATTACACACACACACACTACACAACACACACACTCACTCCACCACTTACAACACATCACACACACTACAATACACACACCCACACAATAACACACACACTCAACACAAAACATGATGTTTATACATATATATATACGTATGATAATATGTATTTATTATATGAATATAGTTATATTTATATACCAATATAATAATATTACATAACTCATCATACAATTAATCCAATAATATTAATATATTATAATTATATATTAATATTATAGTATATATTAATATAATAGAAGTAGCAAATAGTGAATAATATGGTAATTATTAATATAATTGATTTAATAAATAATATAGGATAATTATTACAAATATAGTGTAATAAAAATTATATTAAACATTGTACACCCTACAAATTAATACACACACGAGTGAAAGATGATTATAACATCTGTTTGTCTTCATTCACTACAACACTCAGCGACTACATATACAACTACACACACACACACACACCACAATACAACACACACACACACACACTACACACTACACAAACACACTACACAGAGTTTAATTGCAAAATTATTCCGATGAGTTCAACCGGAGAGCTTCACACAACCAATATAAATATCATATAGTATATCCTCTATTACTTAATTTTCTTGGGAATATAAAATTAGTATAAATTAAATGGTATTAATATAATATATAAATACATATATATAATAATAATAAATATAAGGCTTATCTAACAATATATACCTTGTACACCTACACACACACACAACGCACGCTGTCGACTAAACACTAATCACACACACCACACTACAAACACTAACACACTACAACGCATACGATTAGTAATCACTAAACACTCAACACTCAACATACATCACACTCAACACAGATATGATAGGTAACGACTCACAGACTTAAAGCATATTAGCATAATAATAGAATTAGGATAGATTAGTGAATAATTAATGATAATAGATAAAAATATGAATTTGAAAATATATAGAATATAATGAATATAGTAATTATATAGATATATATATAGATTATAATATAGTATTATAGTATAAAATATAAGTAGGTAGATCTCAATTAGTTAATCAATAAGTTAGCGCCGCCTACGGCACGCACCTAGGAACATTATCACATCAAGCGTCCTGAAGACAATTCATACGATGAGACTCGGTGACGGCAGCCGTCGCTCCATTATCGCTAC